AAATTGATGAGTAAAGTTATACTTTCGAGATTGAATTTCTAAATGCGGCGAGCATCGTAATTGGTGGCATCGAAAATGGATTGGCCGCACGAGTAACGATAATATAACGTTACTTTCTGAAATTTTTCGCGAACGGATACTGATTCAACACAGGCAGCTACGGACACGAGGTGTGTACGAGGTGGAACACGACCGGTCTTATAACCAATGGGAGCTAAATAATGATAAAATGCGGAAGGCTAGCTAGTAAAAATGCAACAGCTCGTCTAACAACTACGAGAACTAACACCATTGGTTATATTTATATGTATGTACGTGTCATTGGCACATACGCGGTGTCCGGAAAAGCGCGCGTACCGAGCACCTTGAAATACTGGTCGCATTTTGCGACGAAAATGTCCGTTTTATCCTTCAATTAATATTGACAACGGTAACATTGTAAATTAACTTTTCTGTATTCATTAATTATTGACTCTTTTGTTAAATTACATTTGTAAATATATTTCTAGATATATGTTATGGGTGAATTTCGAGAGACTCGGAGGAGACTCTCGGTTCGCGCTCTTTTCCCACCTTGGCTTCAAAGTATCTCTTTTTCCAAAATGCTGCACTTCATTAGGGATGCCACATTCCATTTACATTGACGAAGCTTTCGAGAAAAGGTCTCTCTCACAGAATCACACACGATCACTCACTCGCTTGTTTTATCACTAATGGTACGTTGCTTTTGCAGCATGCAAGAGACGTTCTTTTTTCTCTTTTTCTTTTCTTTTTTTTTAAATTGATAACGAAAAGCGTTAGTATCGAATCAACTATCAAGTCGGACGCGTGAAATCGTCGTTTCACGTGCATTCTACAAAAGCAATGTGACGAATGAAAAATTTATGCCGAAGTTCGTGACAGGATCTTTTCGCTTTAAAAATCATTATTCTCCAAATCGTAATACGCGAAAAATCATCAATCTCTAAATTGTACGCGAACTGTACGCGCGTAAATAAAAAAAAAAAAAAATAATCATCAATCTTTCCCGATTAAAATATTGGCTCTCTGAATTTTTTTTCCCGTTATATATTTTTATATCACAAGTATTACACATTTTCCGGTAATTGAAAAAAACTTTTCACTTGACACAATAGATAAGCGCGGCAGCGAGTCACGAATATTTCAGAAAAAGATTTTACAGATCTTGTGTAAAAAACATTCGTTTATTACATAACATAATAATACATGCGTGTTTCTAAGACCTCAGGTCTTAGACTAATAATTATTCGCTCGTCCGTTAATAGCGTGCTGCTGAAGTATCAGATCCTGTCACGCCTTCGGAATCGCTTAAGCACTAAAAGCGATGGCGACACTTATGCCGTTCGGAGTAAATTCTACGTGTGCTTTACCGCGTGCCAGCACGACCAGTCAACCTCGCGAGAGATATTTGCATTGCAAAGGGCAAGACGATAGTGCCATTGTCGTTGATATTGATAGCAGGATTTCTAACCTGACATGTACGCGTACCTAACATGCGAAATTGTTCGCTCGCGGAATGGCTCGCTTGATGTGCAACAATAGCATAGGTATATACGATAATTACAAGGCGCACGTCACACATCGTCAATATCGAGAGATTATGTGCTGTAAGATTATCGCTATTTTTTTTTTTTTTCTTTTTACATCAAGTGCAGTTTGACGTCTATGCGTTAATCTCTTTAAGAATCTCGCGTAGCTCACATAAGTATCTTATTCCTATGCAAATGTTAGATTATGCGTGGCGAGACGGCGATAAAAAAAAAAAAGAACGACAAAAACGAGACCGGATTATACCTCACATGGACTACATTATTACGGCTGCTGGCAGCCAGTCACGTGAACACCGGGAATGAGTAACAAATTGACCGTAATACGGCAACGAAATATTAGCTGTATCGGGCTCAAGCGTGCCTGACCGTGTTCCCTTATCACCGGACTTTCTTTCTTTCTTTTTCATGCGCACTCGATTAAGCCGCTTTCACGCGACCGATTGACGCCGATTAAGCCGCAATACGAGAAATAAAAATGCGCGTCCGATTTCGCGGCTAGCGCCTCGCCGAACGTGTTGGGCGTCGCAAATTGCAAGTTGCGCGAGAGTTTAATTAGCTCTGTCGTCGTCGACGCGTTCCTCCGCCCTCCGGAAACTGGAAGTAGCCCATTTCGCGGTTCTACATCACGGTCCCGTGATTGGTCGTTACAAGTACGGATGCGAAGCGACATCGACTTCCTGTCTGTACAACCCGTCACGACCCAGACGGACCGGATTCAACTATAATCGTCTAATCGACGGCAAACACGTGCAATTGCGAGTTCTTATATCAATTGCGCTCTCTCTCTCGACGTCACTCCAACATTAACGTATATATCGATAAAACAGCTGTAAAACCGTGGATTTGAATTTCATAAATTTGATGTTAGACGTTCGTTAATCGAATATCGAAATATCATTTCTATTTCCGGCAAACGTCGTTAAGCTTTTGCCTACGTATTAATTGATTACAGAGCACGGTAATTGGCAACAATATATGTTAATGAGAAAATCGATGTTGCAGATCTTAAAATAGTAACAATGCCGCGGCAAGAATTCATTCGGGAAGTGAATTGTAGGGTAGAACGCAAGAGAAAAAGCATAATACGTCCGTTAAGAAGTATAATACCGGTTTGCGTGACTTTGCTCCTTTCATTGCAAAGCGAGTGACATCGATGACGAAAGCATTATCGATAAAATGTAATACGAGGTTAAAGATATTCTGAGAATTCGTGAGATCGAAACGATCGAACACGACGAAACTTCTCTTGTTTCTCGTAATACTCTTATACACGAGTTACATGAGAATTACTTCAACTTTATAATTTACAATAACTAGCCGGAAGTATCGTGTGCAAATGTTTGCTTTTATAAGCATTATTTGTAGATCGCCTCCTTCCATGCAACCCTCATAAGTGAAATAATTTTTGATGAATATATTGCTTTAAGTAAACTTGAAAATTATGATTTAACAGAAAAAAAAATTAACATTTGTGGATTGGAGATCCATCAGTCTTGCGACTGTCTCAAAAGAGAGTAATCTCCTCCACTTTTATTACAGAAATATTACAGAATAGTTATAAACAATTTTTTGTCGAGATGTTAAAAAGAGTTAACCGAAGAAGATTAGGAGCCGTCAAAAAGAAATTCGAGTACGTCCTATTTCGAGATTTCATAAAAGAAGATCTCAGTCTTTTAGGATAGACGTAAAAAATTGTGAAGGTGTGTTTATTCAGATTCATAACACCGATAAAAGATGATTAACGATCGGAGAACAATTTTTCAGGGAATAGTTCTTGGCGTGTCGAGATGCTTAAAAAAATTTGAGGGATAGCAACATCCATAAAAATCAAGATATTCCGAGTTGGATACATTAGCAAGGCTTGAGACGCGACCTCGTGCATCTAATCAACGGTAGGTCGCCACACGTGACGTCGACAGACGTCGTTGGGATACTGGGTTACCGGTGCGACTTGATGAAGTGCACTTGAGTGTATTGGACGCGAGAATTGAATATGCACTCCGTCCAATTCGCCGGATGCCGGCTGTCGACACGATGTATTACTGCGGATCTTATCCCGACCTCCGTTGTCATCCACAGTGAAAGCAATTTGCATTACAAACCCGTAATGTAACGCGAGTGTTACCTTTTTCTTTAAAACTCCCCGTTTTCCCGATATCATTTGTATAAACGGTCGGCAATCGCGGTCTACAATCTCGCACGACGCTTTCTGACTTCTGTCGCGAATCAATAGTTGCCTCTCGCGACTTCTCGAAAGGAAATAAGCATAGGAGCTAATCTGGTTAATAATGAGAACAATCGAATAATGAAAATAAGACTTGATAATTCGTGAAATTCTCGAAAAATTATCTATATTTCCACCAATGTAGATTAACTTTCTTGGTTTAACTTACTTCCTATCTTTTTCTAATTTTAAGAATTAGAAAAAGATACAAAATAAATTAAACCGAGATTAAAGTTAATCCATATTGGATCGAAATGGATGTAGAAGCCTAAATCACAGTCAAGAATTACGTAACACCGACGAAAAAGATGGAAAATCGATAACTGACAATGGCACTTCGTACTTGGCAAATGTTTTTATCAAGATCAGCGCGAGCTTGTAACGGAATGTCGCCATCGCGCTGCAAAGAAACGTGTACAGTTGCAGCAGCACGTTCTCGTATTCTCATCAAGGAATATCGCTGTTTTTCCGGCATGTAATATTAGTTCTTCAACCTCCTCTCCTCATATTGAGAATATATATATATATATATATA